CTTAGAACTTTCGCCACTGTACCTCCGAGTGGCAGCGAGCCCGGTAAACCTCGACGAAAGAGTTATTTCAAGGACACAGCAGTCTCAGACTTCTCCGATTTCCTTGCGACGTCGTCTCCAGCCCAGCCGCTGTCTCCAGCAGAGGCTTACTCCCTGAAGACCGCCGAAGTCGGCCCTGAGGGCAAGAAGCGAACCATCACACGACTGCCAGAATGGCTAAAGACACCGATCCCCGCCGGCAACGATAACTTCAAGAGCATCAAGAAGGATCTACGAGGATTGGGATTACACACCGTCTGCGAGGAGGCTCGATGTCCCAACATTTCAGAATGTTGGGGCGGTTCAGACAAGAATGCAGCGACAGCTACTATTATGCTTATGGGCGACACATGCACCAGAGGATGCCGTTTCTGCAGTGTAAAGACAAATCGCAACCCTGCTGCATTGGATCCCCACGAGCCCGAGAACACTGCAGAGGCCCTGGCCAGGTGGGGTCTTGGCTATGTCGTGCTGACCAGCGTGGACCGTGACGATCTGGCAGACGGTGGTGCGAAACATTTTGCTGAGACAATCCGAAGAATTAAGCAGAAGAAGCCTTCATTGCTCGTTGAAGCTTTGACTGGCGATTTCCGAGGAGACTTGGATATGGTCAAGGTTGTGGCTGAGAGTGGACTCGACGTTTATGCGCACAATGTTGAGACCGTTGAGGACCTCACTCCGTATGTGCGAGACCGCAGAGCTACTTTCAGACAGAGCTTGTCTGTGCTGAAGCATGTCAAGGATGTTATGGGCAAGGACGGTCCTATCACTAAGACCAGTCTGATGCTTGGTCTTGGTGAGCAGGAGCATGAGATCATGGCTGCGCTAGAGGGTAAGACAACCTTTTTAATAATGCTATGTGACTCGGCTAACAGTGATCAGAACTTCGAAAGGCTGATGTTGATGTTGTCACATTCGGTCAGTACATGCGACCTACTAAGCGTCATCTTAAGGTCGAGAAGTACGTGACTCCGGATGAGTTCGAGATGTGGCGCAAGCGAGCTCTGGACATGGGTTTCCTGTACTGTGCCAGTGGACCTCTCGTGCGTTCTTCGTACAAGGCTGGTGAAGCCTTCATTGAGAACGTTTTGCGCAAGCGCTCTGGTGAGAAGGCTATGGCCAGTGGAAATCTTGGCCAAACCGTTGCTCTCGACTCAACACAGTCGACGATCTAAACAGATCACTGTACTCCTACTTTCACCTCAACCACACCACACTACACTAAATAATCATGGGCTATGACCGTATCGGAAGGCGTTTTGGGATAGGGTCAGATATTCAACTAGAAAAGCATGGTCTTCAACAAGGCTGCTGCGACCTTGTCGCACACTCACATACAATACAATCACTCACCCCTAGCGGGTTGTACATCAACTATCTGCACGTCAACGTGGTGGTTGTTCTGATATTCTCCTTGCTGTGTAACTGAACTCCTCTGAATAGGTTCGTTCATTACAGGAACGACGTCACTCACACTATGATCAACACATCTCAGAGCCTGTCGCATATGTTCCCGTAGCGATACTTAAATATGCCTTGTACGTATTGATTATCTTACCTGATAGACTTGTCGTGGGTGATAACGGCAGCAGTTGCTCTTGTCATGAGCTGACACTGCCTGGAGGGATTTTCATCTCTTGTGTAGGTAAAGTTGGAGTTGATGAATCACTGCCCTACCTTAGACTTGTCCCACTACAGATTTCAACATACACCCTGGAGATGAAGTTCGACGACCGCATGAGTTTCAAGGACCACTACTGATTCAACGCTTCGTGGTGTGTGACCCAACTTGCACCTTCCTTTGTCACGAAGTAGCATCATATTAATACTCGTGATGTCTCGATCACATGTTCCAACTTAACTTTCTCAAATCTATTCTCAACAACCAACTCGTCTTAATAACTTCGCCATCATCTACCATAACACTTCATCCCCGAAACGGCGAGCTTACTTACACCAGACGTTGTTCAACGCCATTTCAACTGTCCCCTGGCAGATCCAAGTCGGTCGATATGCTCCTGGTATCTAACACGGAGTACCATGTATCCTTTCGATGTGTCGCACCATATAATGATGGACGAGGCGACCGGAGCAAAAGCAGGAGCCCTTTCAGCATACACATCAGAAGACATGAATATCCTGTTAGATGTCACGTCTAAGAGCTCCAATGTATCCACGCCTGTCGACTACACCACCAGGGGACATACCACAGGTCGTCGCCAGCAACACCTACAGAATTCACGCAAGATGGTAAAACACGTTGCCAGCCAGACCAGGTCATCAGATGGTTTACAGCAGGAGAGGGACTCCGGAACGAATTTGTTGGTGTAGTTCTGGTAAGGATAATATCACCTGATGATCGCGGGATGACAACGGGAGTTCAATATACGGGTCACCGCTATTAAGGAAGGATTTAAGGTCGGCGGCGCGGTGGCGGCGATAGAAAGCAGAGGCGTCGTTCAACAAACGCAGGCGAGACGCAAAGCAAAACATCAAAGACAATGATGAGCTTGAAGAGAAGAAAAAGCTCTGACGGGTGTCGAGATCTTTTGTGGTCGTGTCCGAATTGCCAGGGGAAGGAGCTCCTTCTGTTTCGTTGTGTCTCTTACCCAACAATGAACTTCGGGAAAGAACGGTTGTCCAACTCAGCGGATTTGAGTCAGAGATGCCTACTACTCTAACCCATACCTCAAGTAGGTGCTCTATCGTAGTTACCTGAGGTAGAATTGGTATCGATGGCAAGCAACACCGATAACCTGTCTGCGGAGGGCGGTAGCCAGGAGGCCACGTCTTTTCTGGCACTCAATGGCTTGGGTGAGAGTTTACTTAAATTGGCTATCGTGGCAAGCTGTACCTAAGCTGTATTAAGACACGGATCTGAATATTAGCTGTTAGAATTATCACCAAGTCTTGACCACCCAACTGGCCATCTTCAACAAACTGAGGTTCATCAGGCCCCAGTAGTACAGCGGCATCTAATTAAGTCAGGGGGACCCAACATAGCTTGAAGGGTCATTGACAGCTTTCTCAATGCAATAGCCATTGGCATTGTATGATGTCTAAGTTGCCATAACCTGCCTATGCCATATGGCAAGTACTCTTAGCCGACGTCCTCCTCAAAGCGAACTTATCATCACCGCGCATCCCGAGACTAGATGGCTCACGGCAGCATTAATATTACAAGCACTTCCAGTTACCCGTCACAACACAGAATACGCTTTTCAAAATACCATAGTTCAGCTCGCAGTTCTCTTCCTCGAGCGTCCTACCATATCTCCCTGACAAGCCCACAAGTCTATTTATATAGTCAAGCTTCGGACACCACACACCACTTTCAACCAAAGTGGTAAATGCAGCTATAACCTTGACTTCTTGGGTAGAGGCTTTGAAAAGAGGTTTTGCGTACTCTGTGTCCCTCTTGGCATCTACCATCAAGACTGTTGGTACTGTTGTAAGCCATTTTGGGGCTAGGTTGTTGACGCCATCGGACGAGATTATTCGCAACAGCCTTTCAATTCCGGAAGTAATCGAGCGAGAGCTGATATATGAAAGAGAACTTGTGGCTTGTCACAAAATTGTTTGTATCAAGAACATGTCTCGAAGACTACATTTGATGCTTTACTCTTTGTAGCGGCCACTAAAATTCGATCGATTAAATATTTTCGTATAGAAACTGCTGGAGCCCAGATCCTCGTCCCGAAACATTGACAAGACTTGAGTAGTTATCTGCTATTCGGCAACATAATTAAAGACATACATGCAGACTTACAGTTAGGAGGAAGAAGGAGATGGTTTAGTCTCGCAACAAAAGCGCGGAAATTTGCGGCGGGTAGGCGGTAGTGTCCGCTCAGTGGTGAGAAGGATGATAATCGACCATTCTTAATGGTATATCACGGCGGAGTATACTAGTTCCAACCTAGAACATCCAAGATAGGTAATATTTTTGTGTTGTAATGCTGGTATTCACCACATCGTTTAACTATAGGTATGATAATATTCTGAGCGCTATGAAAGGCATAAAAACATATTAAAGATTACCCATTATAATGCCTCGCTAAGAATGGTCTTACTGGCTGTGTAGGTAGGTAGGGTCACCAGAGACTCTCGGAGTCACATCAATGCCGACACTAAGGGCAAACTTGCCATAAACTTATATAATTTCAGCAAAGTTTTGTCAAACGTTAGATATACCTTATGGCAACTTTAGGGTGCTTTAGACTTCTTTAGTACCTTGTCCTACTCTCTGAAGATTTGTTGCTCCTGCCTGAGGTACGGGTCTTTATATTTTTGGAATCTGGTTCCACTTTTATTCATACTGGGAGAACAGTTAATCACGGCCCCAACTTCAACTTCACAAACATTTCACTTTCTCTGTTTCTCCATAAATCTCGTGGAAGTCTGGTATTACAATGCTGTGAGTATTTATTTCACCGGTCTCTATTATATTTCTAACCACCTAGAAATCCCTCTCTAGTCACCAACCTGCCGGCGGCGCCACACAGCGAACAACGTCGCCCAAGATGGATCAAAAGGCAAACGCACTGGTTCTGAGTATCAACGAAGGAACGGCAGATATCCATGGCATTGGGGTTAACGTCTGCAAAGTGAAAAATAGGCCCTTCTCTAAGAAGCTTCGATTCGCCACAGTTGGCGACCTAGGGGAGGCAAGAAAACTCAGGACCTTGACCCTAAGCGATAAAATTGTTTAGGTAAATCTAGCCTAAGCTTAAGGGACTCTTTACTAAGTTTATTTTAGCATCCTTTTTTCAAGTCCTGAGTTTTCTTGCTCCCTGAGGGCGACGCATAAGGTTTCATCAACTTCTTCTTTCGATGCTTTAACGAGTCTCAGATCAACACTGCTTTGGACTACAGGCTAGGCATCTAACACACCCTTGCTCCGGCGGCAGCTCGCGCTTTATTCCATTTCTGCTGCTATTACGTCTTGTTGCTATTCTTCAGATATGGCATCATCTGCTTCTATCATGTCGGCCCCTATCAGACGAACGATTAAGCAGGTTAAGCTTCAAATCTACGATACTCTTGAAGTTGAGCAACCCATCATTGGCGGCGTCTTTTGTACTATTAAAGATGTGCATATGCACGATATTACCCGTATACCAGGGCTTTTGAATCCACAATGCTCTTGAACTCGAGCAACCTATTCTTGATGGCATCTTTTGTACTATCAAAGTGAAAGCTCGGCCATTCTCTGAGAAGCTTCGATTCGCAACAATTAGCGATGCGCAAGGTTTCAAGATTAAGCTAGTCAAGCTTCAGAATGCTATGCTCGATCAACAAAAGCAACAAGACATCGATAGGTCTCAGGTTGCTGACAATACTGAGGAAAGAAAGGCAGAAGACGACGGCGAAGCAAGAGAATACCATGCTGCCCTTCTAATTACAGGCAACACTTTTCTGACATTAGACAACTTTAGAGTAATTTAGGATAATCTTAACCTAAGCTTAGAAAAAGTCTTGATTACTTTATTTATAACCCTAACTACCAGTCCTTATCCCGCCTATGAGTCTCGGTGAGTACAGTGTTCCGCTCGTTCTCGTTCTTGAATCGGATTGTTGGCGGAAAAGCCACTCCTCTGTTCGCAGGGACTTGATGCCTCCCAAGACCCAAGGTCATATTAAGGTTGTACTGTTCAATAATTTCTGTGACACAGGGCTTCCCGGGTGTTGTATACTTCCCAAGACCCAAGGTCATATTAACATTATACTGTTCAATAATTTTTGTGACACAGGACTTCCCAGGTGTTGTAGAGAGGGGGTGGCCAGCCTGGTTGACCCAGCTGTTGGGGTTTCTTCCGGCGTTCAAAGTCTTCGCGATATTTGCAGTTATCAGAAACTTTCTTGTGAAGTCTGTTTGCTGGCCACAGTCTTGTGCCTGGTTCTTGCCTAGTCTCTCGCTGTTCTTCATTTCGTAAGGCTAATCGTGCATTCGAATGATGCAAAGATGAAGACCACACTCCTTTGCCAAGTTCCAGTAGCGGTCCGCAGCATTATCGAGGTATGGGCTGATGACGTTTCCCTCTCCTGGTTCTTGACACTCCAATCCAAGATCCCTCTCCTCCACTCCTTCCTGCAGAAGCGCCCGTACGCAGGATGGCTTGTGGGCGCAGGTTTTGACGTACTTGCCGCAGGACCGGGGCAAGCTGCTTGGTATCGCCGAACATGATCATAGGTCGAGGCGTATTGCCGAGAACCAACAAGCTGTCGGAGCAGAATAGCGTGGCAGCCTTATCAAATATGACGCCACGAGCCACTTCTGAGTTATATGATCTGTAGAGGAAAGAACTGGATGTTACAGGAGTCGTAGCCACAATGTTGGAGCATTTGATGACCAAGGCCATCAGATTGCGTAAGGGCTTTTGATAATTGCCGGTGGAGTACATTCTGCGCTTCATCGCCGGGTCGCGCATTTCTACAAGCTTCACGAGACCAGAAAACTCGGAAATGTTGGGATGCTTCACAGCAGGTAAATAGCTACTAACCTGCAGTTCTTGCTGCTGTTGTTGACGAGCGGCGTCTTAATGGCTGCATCGCGGCAAGCTCGGCCTCATATGTATTCGAAAATGTGTCCTGTGATGAAGATATGTTTCTGATACGTTTGATCCAGGTTAGACTTTCAAAGTCATCGAGTGTAGAGGCTGTCTGTGGCTGTGACTGGCGTGCCGGCGTTCGAGGCGGCAATCGCCAGTCAGGCGATGCATCGCGGCAAGTTCGGCCTCGTATGTATTCGAAAATGTGTCCAGTGTGATAAAGCACGTCTGATCCAAGGTTAGGCTTTCAAAGCCATCGAGTGTAGACGATGATTATATTTATGACTGACCTGTTAACCCAAATATCTTGAGATATGAGTAATATGGTAAGTCTGTTGCTATTCCCTGCTCTCCATTTTCCCCTGTCAGAAGCGGAGGAGTTGGGTGTGAAAGGATGACAAGGAATGTAAGTTTGATGGAGTTAACGTTGTTGTGTTGGATTCTTATGCAGTAAACTAGAGAAGTAGTATATGAGCGAAGGTGTCGGCTAAACCGAGGTAAAATGCATGCTTCCTGCGTTGTACAAAATGCAGGTTGGGTAGTTGTAATGAGGGACGCCTGCTAGGTAAGCAGCAAAGGCTTAGGTAAATTTAGTCTAAGTTAATGTAAATTTAGTATAGATTTAGAGGACCTCAATGGAATCTCTGGCCAGACATCCTCCTGCTTGCCGATCGTATAAGCGCTGTGGTTCCTTAATATCATTTACTTTTGCACTTTTCCCGTCCTCTTTACTATACTTACCCACTCTATATTTGATATGATCATTGATTTCGATCCTGGCTGACCTTTTGGCTTTATCCTCCTTTTATACCCATATTAAGAAAGACACCAGCTGCAGTGGCTATAGGCTGAACGGCTTGAGAGCTTGCATCTAACGTCGGGAAATATGTAGTCGGCATCTTCTTTATCGGACGGTTCCTTTGAGTTATTGTGAAGAACAGGAAGGCCTAAGTCGATCAGGCCTTCCTCCTTTGCCTTCTGTTGAGGAGACAGGCGGGAAGTTGCCCGGGCTTGCATCTGTTGAGATGATTGTGCCTCGGGCCCCCATATCCCTCTATAGCCTCCCCACTTGGGCCCTAGCTAGCTTCACCCTTATTTCTGATAGGGGACAATGGAAAGCAGGGCGAGGGAATAGCAACAGACTTACTATATAACTCGCATCCCGAGTTGCTATAAGGTATTAAAGAGCCAGGGGAACCTTGGCTTATTAATACTAAAAAGAGATCCCTCTTATAGAGGCTAAGATTAAAGATCAGATGCCAGGATCAGATTATCAGGCTTCTTTAAGCCAACTTCCATTGGGCTTAGATATGCCAGAAAACAGTCTCGAGCTCCTCAATTTTCCGAAGGAACTACCATCAGGTCTTGATGGCGAATTGCAGCGAATATCGACTTCTCGAGCTACAGATTTCGCCTCATTCCAACACCACTGTCATTGGCTTTGGCCTTCCATTTCATGGAGCGAACGCGACTGTTGACAATTGGGTCAATAAACACGTTCTAAATGCTGGGGTAGCTCCCTTGTGCTTCAAATCCCTCTTCTTCTTCTTTTTTCTTTTCAACTCGCTTTCCTTCCTCCTTCATCTGCCATCTCTTGAATTTACGTACAGAGATTTCTCTGCTTTTCACAGCAACCTCTTCCTTTCACGTCAGGCGGCACGAGGTATATCGTGCAGTCATGCTCCATCTCTAGCGCGACTCCATATCTAACGAACTCTCCATTAACGCTCTCCCGAAACGACCACAGGTCCATTCAACATGACCAGCAACAGATTTCGCCTCATTTCAACACCACTGTCACTGGCTTTGGCCTTCCATTTCATGGATACGGTGAGGACCACATGGCCTCGCTCCTCCCTTCTGCTATTGTGTGATGCCTGGGGCATCCACGAGGTCCTCCTCTCTGCTGTCGTGCGATGCCAGGCCATCGAACGGCGTGATGAAGAGACGATATTAAAAAGGCTTACTGGATTTTGAAGTGCCTTTCAGCTTGGCCTTCATAGAGTAAGGAATTGTTGAGGTAAGTACTCTAAACTCTATATAACTGTTAAACTTTACTAACTGCAATTAATTGAATTATCAAGAGTCAAGAATATCCTAGACCCCGATGAAGTGGGCATTTCTACCAGCCGCTGGGCACCTGGCAATTCTCCCCCCAGCTCCTCCAAGCCAGCTGAGCCAGCTGTTGAGGTCAAGGACAATGAGAGTGGAGAGGATTCCCGACGAAGTAGGCATTTCTACCAGCCGCTGGGCCCCTAGCAATTCTTACCCCAACTCCTCCAAGCCAGCTGTTGAGGTCAGAGAGTGGAGAGGATCAGGCCACCCATAACGGCTGTTGAGTCAGGAGACCGCAGCCAATCTTCAGCCGGGTGACCTAGGTTTTAGTATGGCATACTAAATCCCTGAACAGAGATTGATGCGTTTTTGCCAAGAAAGACGTCGACCCAAGTCATGTGCTTCTTGCCTGCAGGATATCTCGCGGAGTCAAGAACATCCTGGACCCCGAGGAAGTAGGCATTTCTATTAGCTGCTGGGCCCCTGCTAATTCCCCTGCTAACTCCTCTAAGTCAGCAGATCTAGCTGTTGAGTTTAAGGATGATATAAAGGGATAGGAAGAGGAGTAGGAATAGAAGTAGTAATAGACTCCTGTTGTTGCTGCTTCCTGATATGCTGTTAACTTCTTATATGACCTAGATTGCGTTATTTACCTAGTTAACGAGGAACCAGAAGTAATAACTAAAGAGGAAGAAGTGTATGAAAAGAAAGAAGAAGTCAGAGATGACTAATTTGATGGATATAGCATTGAATAATCGACGGAGGAAGCTGGGCTTATAGGCCCTGATGACCTCGAGGAGGCTGTCCAAGCCGAGACTGTACCTGAAGAAAGCACACTACAGGAAGTACCATTCTTATTTTTGACCTCACAGGAGACCAGTTGCAAAAGAGAGAGGTCCTACCTCTAGTGGAGATACCAGATAGACCAGCATCAAGGAGCAGCAACTTAAGCGATTCTCTTCAAGGGCCCAATCAGGCAGTGGACGGTCACGTGGATGTTGAACCAATACAAAGCTGACTCTCGGGTCCCTTATAACCAACTTAACCTCACATAGGTACACTTGACAGCGATACCCAAGGGACCTATGTGTATATAAAGGTATAACAGCAGCAACAGCAGCAACAGCAGCAACAGCAGCAACAGCAGCAACAGCAGCAACAGCAGCAACAGCAGCAACAGCAGCAACGGCAGCAATGACCAGCCTTTACTCCCTTGAATTTAGAGGTGCCGAGGATTAAATCCTAGAGTCCCCTCTTCTTCGCTCTGTCGGCGCCGAGAATGGCTGGGAGGAGCGTTCCAAGCTCATTCTGAGCTCTGGTTCAACAAGCCTGCCTGCCCCCACCACGTCGAGACCTCTACTGATCCCGCACTGAGGCTATCGATATCACCCAGCACGTTCATTTCGACGCCAACTGCTTCCGAGCTCTGGCTCAACAAGGCTGCCTGCCCTTATCCCTACCAAAGGAATCAATCTCGGCGACATTGTCAAGGCCCGCTGCGCGGAATGTACTCCCCGTGAGCACCGAGTCGGCAACGGCCTCGCCGCTCAGCAGATCCTGGAGTCTGTTCTTCTTCGCTCTGCCGACCCCAAGAATAGCTAGGAGGAGCATTCCAAGCTCGTATCCGAGCTCTGGCTCAACAAGACTGCCTGCCCGTATCACGTCGACACCCCCC